GCCTCAGCCTTCCGAGTAGCTGGGATTACAGGCATGTGCTACCACGCCCGGCTGATTTTTAGATTTATTGTAGAGATGAGATCTCGCTGCCCAGGCGGGTCTCGAACCCAGCGACTCATGCAATCCACTCACCTCAGCCTCCCAAAGGCGCGGGATTACAGGCTGAGCCACCGAGCCTGGCCTTAAGAATTTATAATGGGAAGCTACTGACAGTTTTTCAGGAGGGAAGAGAAATATTTTAGAAAGATAATATGGCAAATCTATGAAGGACAGACTGGAGAACAGAGAAATCAGTTAAGAGTTTTAATAGTACAAGCAGGCTGGGAGCAGTTGCTCATGCCTATAATTCCAGCACTGTGGGAGGCCAAGGTGAGAGGTTTGCCTGAGGCTGCCACGGGTTCAAGGCCAGCCTGGGAAACTTGGTGAGACTTCAAGTTGGTGAGACAATGAGTCAAAAAATTAGCCAGGCAGGGTGGCACATGCCTTGGAAGGCTGAAGTGGAAGGATCGCCCAAGCCCAGCAGGTCGAGGCTGAAGTGGCCGTGAGTGTGCCACTGCACTCCTGCCTGGGTGACAGAGTGAGACTCTGATTCAAACAACAACAACAACAAAAAAAAGTGCCTATAAGTCCAGCACTTTGGGAGGCTAAGGTGAGAGGACTACCTGAGCCTACAGGTTTGAGATCAGCCTGGGCAGCTTGGTGAGACCTCATCTCTACAATAAAAATATATATATATTATCTGGGCGTTGTGGCACATGCCTGTAGTTCCAGCCTCTTGGAAGGCTGAGGCGGAAGGATCGCCTGAGCCCAAGCAGGTCGAGGCTGTGGTGGCTGTGAGCAGCGTGCCTCTACAGCCTGAGCAACAGAGTGAGACTTTGACTCAAAAAAAACAAAAAACAAAAGAAATATTCAATAATTTCAATTGAGTTCTTTCTATTCAACAAACATTGGGTATACAAAAGTAAAACACTACTTAAAAATGATTTACACACTTTGCTTTCAGTTAAAAAGAGAACCATGACTAAAGTGTTAATAAAGTCTGGATTTTATACATGATATGTAGTACTTTTTTAAAGTAAAATTCTCAATTTACCATTTCCAGTTTTGAATAATCCCCACAAAAACCAACAGAATCCTAAAGATACATTTATCACTTAAGTCAGAAACAATGAATTCAACATGGAAAGTAGAGTACCTGCATAATGAACAGTATACCTAACTCTGAATTGTACCCATCTTTAAAATTAAAAAATAAATGCAAAGTACTTAAGAACCTAAAATATACAAGCAAATTGTTTTTCCATAAACCTAAGAAAAGAATTATTTTCTACTAACATGAATACATTATGTTTTAGAATGTACTGTATTACCATATACAACAGACCTTTAAGAACCGCTCATAAAGTTGTCTAATTGTTTTCAGTCTCTGGCTCTGAACAATTCTAGATTGTTGAAAAATCTTTTGTTGCTGTCGAAATATATTCTACAAATATAAAAGAAAAAACCATTAACAATTTGGGTAAAATTTTAAATTTTGCAAAAAAAATTCTGTATTAAAGAGAAATAGCTTTAAAATCAATACTTTTAACATTTTTAACAACTATTACAACCAAGTTTAGATCATTTGTGTTCACTGCTAATATGCAACAGTGTAATAATCCTACCTGTTCTGAACAGGGAAGTTTAACAATATTCACGACGTCTCTTAGTTCTGTGATTTCAATAACCACACAGGTGAGCCTTCAAATAACAGGGTCTTTCAGTTCCTTGATCTGTTCTCTACCAATGATTCTGTCCTCCCCCTTGACTATTCACTTACATATTCATACCCTAGATTTTGTCATTACCAATAACGCTAACCTCTACATGGTATTAAGTCTCATACTTTCTAAGAGATAGGTACTCATTATTCCTTTCATAGATTAAAAAACTGAGGCATAAAGATAAATAATTCGTTTGTGGTTTCATAGCTAGTAACTGCTCAAAACCAGAATTTGATTCCAGTATCCAGGCTCTAACCATTATACATACTGTTTCTTTATACAGCCTAGAATTCAACCACTACTTCCTTACAGCTCCATAATGTATCAGCACCAAGAATCCATTCATCCTACTTTTCATGTCATCCCTATCCTTATATCCTTAATTTCCTCTTTCCTGGCTTAAAATCTGTAGTCAATCATACTTATTTCTTTGCATATAGAGCTTGCCCCATTCTTTTTTTTTTTTTAAGGTGGGGTGCAGTGGCACATTCACGGCCACTCCGGCGTCGACCTGCTGGGCTCAGGAGATCCTTCCACCTCAGCCTTCCAAGTCGCCAGAATTACAGGCAAATGCTACCATGTCGGGCTAATTTTCTATTTGTTGTAGCGACTAGGTCTCGCCAAGTTGCCAGCTGGTCTCAAACTGGCAGGCTCAGGCAATCCACTTGCACTGGCCTCCCCAAGTGCTGGGATGACAGGCTGAGCCACCGAGCCCAGTAAGAAGAGCCACATTGCCCTCTTCTTACGCTGTCACGCTCGCCAGGCCAAACCCCAAACATGGACTCCAACTCTCCAGCCACTCGGCCTGGAGGCAACAACTTTTCTTCCATCTGATGACCTTAATTATTATCACTAAATGAACAGAAGCAATCAAAAGAGAACTTTTAGTCTCCCATCGTCATATCTACTATCCACCTACATGAGTTTGTGTGCATATACTCTACTTTCTCTCCTGTTTCTACTCTATAAAAATAGGATGAACTATCTTTGTAGCTTGCTAAGGCCAGCTTCTTCACACATTCTTGAATGTTTCCTATGCATCTCACACTTCTTCCCATGTCTCATCCATTCTCAACAACTCAGCAAGTCCCACTTTTTAAGTTTTCCCTCTAGATCATTCCTGTCTTCATATAAACATACTATTTCTCCAATCTTAAAAAGCAAAATAACTCTATTCCTTTACTCCTCAGGCTACCACTCCACCTCTTTCTTTCCCATGCTGTCTTACATTCATTATAGACTTTTACACTCCCTTTTCCACCAAAATTATTCTGATCCAGGACACTGATGACCTCCACTTGGCCAATTCTACCTTACTTGGCCTGTAAGAAGCACATGGCGGTTAGTCCTTTTTCCTTTTTAAAAGGCTTTCTTCACTTGGCCTAGAATGGTTTTCTTTCTACCTACTAGTCCACTCATTCTTAATCTTCTTTACTGGTTCCCCTTATCTCCTGAAACTCAACACTGAAATACTCCAGGGCACTGTCCTTGGACTTCTCTTCTGCATTTACAGTCATTCCTTTGATGATCTCATTGTATTCATGGCTTAAATTCTGTCTTTATGCTGAGAATTCCCAACTCTGTATCTTCAACCCATCACTCTCTCCTGAACTTGATTCATATACCAGTGGCCTACTCAACATCTCTCCTTGAATGTTTCATGTGCATCTCAAATGTTTCATGTGCATTTCCCAAACTGACCAACTCCAACTAACCCCAACATTATTTGATATGAACAGTACCTCAGCTCTTAGATAAGAAATGTTTGATCATTACAAACAACATAAGGATGAGATGAAAATGTAGTTAGACCGGGTGTGGTGGCACAAGCCTATAATCCCAGCACTCTGGGAGGCCAAAGCGAGAGAGCTGTCTGAGCACAGGTGTTCGAGACCAGCTTGGGCAACTTGGTGAGACCTTGTCTCTACAATAAATAAACTTAAAAAATTAGCTGGGCATGGTGGCGCACGTCTGTAGTTCCAGCTACTTGGAAGGTTTGGAGGTGGAAGGGTCACCTGAGCCCAGCAGGTCAAGGCTGTGGTGGCTGTGAGTCTGCCATTGCCCTCCAGCCTGGGCAACAGAATGAGACTCCGACTCAAAAAAAAAAAAAAAAAAAAAAATGTAGTTAATGCAGTTATACAATATGTAAATAGAGCTGACTTCCATCTATCATAAGAACGGGCAGGTAGCACAGGTCTGGACATTGAAAGTAGACCATGTTCTGACTACGGTTCTTCCTTAATATCCTTGGGGGACTGGTTCCCGGACCCCGAGAACACCAAAATCTGTAGATGTTCAAGTCCCTTTTATAAAACAGCATAGCATTTGTACATAAAAAATGAACATCCTCCCATGTACTTTAAATCATTGCTAGATTACTTACAATGCCGAATGCAATGTTGTAAATAGGTGTTACACTGTATTTTTTATTGCTGTATTGGTTTTTTTTCCCAAATATTTTTGATACATAGTTGAATCCAGATGCAGAATCCATGAATACAGAGGGCCAACTTTACAATGATTGGTTCAGAAATGAGCAAATGACCCAAACTAGATCAGTGATATTTTCCCAGAGGAATTTTCTACCAGAGCTATTGAGAAAGACTGCCTCAGTCCACTGGGGTTATTAAACTTGTAGTAAGTCAAGGATTGCAACAATAATCTTGCTTTCTACATTGAGACACCTTACTAAGAACTGGCAACAGAACCCAGATAACACTACATGAGCAACCATTCCCTATTCCCATCCAGTTGCCTGAAGCTAAACTACCCCCAAATTCTTTTATAAAAACCAATAATCATTCTTTTGTGACAAGCTGTTGTCACTTGGAAATGCAAGAATCCCAACCAATATAAGAAACAAGGACCAACAGCTTTTAAGAGTATAGTATGTGCCTATCTTCGAGGTTCAGCAGGATTAAAACATATAGTCAGAAATGGTTAAATGGAATCTGGCTCAGAGTCATAAGTCATAATAAAAGGCTAGGTTCTCCATTCCTACTTGAAACTTTGTTATAATAGATTAATTATAAACCTAATCATAATACCAACAATTAATTTTTCTTCTTGTTCCTGAGTTTTCTGTATATCTGTATCCCACTGCTGAAACAAAGTCAGAAACTGCTGATAATAGTCTTGGTAAAGCTTCTGCCTATAAAACATAATAATGAATTATTGTCATATTTCATACCAATATAAAAAAGTTTAAAACAAAATTGAGTTGACATACTATAAAAAACAAAGAACTGCTGATTAAATCTTCTGCTAGGAAACCAAGAAGTAAGATTATGACCTATGCTGATTCCAGATGTATCTTTTTCCTAACAGGCTAATAGAGAAGTGCTGTCACAAGCTTTCAACTCTTAAAAACTAAGGAACTGTGCATATAAATTTTCCAGAAAAATTCATTTTATCTCCAGTTTGATTTTCAATTTTTTCCTACTGAATACAGGCTCTGATAGGACAAACAGACTATGGAAATATTTCACTTGATTTTTCCTCATTTTGGCACAAAAAAGATTTTGTACAAAAGAAGAGTTAAATCAGCTAAAATATACAAATTATGGCCAGGCACAGTGGCTCAGGCCTGTAATCCCAGCACTTTGGGAGGATGAGGCAGAGGGACTGCTTGAGCCCATGAGTTTAAGACCAGCCTGGGACCTCGTCGCTATAAAAAAACCCCATGGTGGCATGGTGGCACATACCTATAGTCTCACCTACTCTGGAGGCTAAGGCGAAAGGATCGCCTAAGCCCAAGAGGTCGAGACTGTGGTGAGCTATGACTGTGCCACTACACTTGATCCGGGTGACGGTGAGACCCCAACTCAAAAAAAAAATGTATTCTATATCTCTGTGTGTGTGTGTGTGTGTGTGTGTGTGTATTTAATGTAAGACTGGCTTTTTTCTACATTGTTGAAAATAGTTAACTATCAGAAGACTAATGGTTTCTATGACATTACCTTTTATTAAATTAGAGTATTTCTAGGATGAATATAAATTACTTTTATAATTTAAAAACCTTGCCTGGCGCAGTGGCTCATGCCTATAATCAGAAATGGTTAAATATAGCACTTTGGGAGGCTTAGGTGAGAGGACTAACCACAGATTCAAGACCAGCTTGAGCAACTTGGCAAGACCTCATATTTACAATAAATCAAAAAATTAGCCAGGCATATTGTCGCGCGTCTGTAGTTCCAGCTACTTGGAAGGCTGAGGCAGAAGGATCGCCTAAGCCCAGTAGGTTGAGGCTACAGTGGCCATGAGTGTGCCACTGCACTCCAGCCTGGGTGACAGAGTGAGATTCTAACTCAAAAAATATATATATAAAAATATAATTTTTAAAAACCTCAATTGTTACCTAAGTGGAGAAAAAGTAATCTTTATTAATTTATAAGAAATATATCTAAATTCAATGAAGGAGTGAGGTTATAGAACTAAAGGATGTACATGTTTAGAAAAATTGAGGCAAATATATTTTCATTAGATGCCAATAAGTAGAAGATGGCAGTATTTTTCATAATTAATTTACACCAATTAATACTGAGAAATGATAAAAATGTTGTGGCTCTAAAAAACAACCTTACCTTTGCTCTTTTTGAGTTTTCCAAAGATATTCTATTTTCTGGTTACTGGTTTTTACAGAAGCCTTGGCGTACATTTCTAATCTTTTTTTCTTGGCAAGAATAGCCTTGTTTATGTCAGCTACATTGAAAATAAAAATTCATTAAATTTAATGTTGAAGAAAAGTATTTTGTTCCCACATAGTTAAGTAAATATGGGTAAATTTTGTTCAACAATATTGGAAAAACATTTAAAATCAAATTTAGAAATAGGCATAATTTCAAAAGACAGAATTGTGTTTTTTTTTCTTTCAGGGAAAATATTCAGTTATTAGTATCCCAATTCTGATTTTCCTAACTGGAGATAATTTTTAAATTTAGAGACAATTTTAAAAGAGCTAATAAATAAAACAAAAGGTCAAGGGCAGACTTTAATTTCCTCATGAGAAAACACTAAAAAAGGTTACATTTTTCTATATGTATAAAATACTCTCCAATTGAAAGGACACATGTAGATGAATTACTGTTAGAACTCATTATATAAAGCACACAAAAAGTACTCTATTAAAAAACAGAATCCTGCTGCACACATGTAATCCCAGCACATTGGGAGGCTGAGGCAGGAGGACTGCCGGGGCCCCAGGAATTCGAGACCAGCCTGGACAACATGGCAAGGCCTCATCTCTACAATAAATCAACAAATTAGACAGGAATGGTGGTGTGCACCCGTAGTCCCAGCTACTTGGAAGGCTGAGGTGGAAGGATCACCTGAGCCCAGCAAATAGAGGCTGCAGTAGCCATGATTATGTCACTGCATTCCAGCATGGATGATAAAGTAAAACTCTGACTATAACATAAAATAAAAACAAAATAATAAAATGAATTTAAAAATCAATAAAATACAAAATAAGAAAAAAAAAAAAACAAACCCCACCAGAATCCAAAAAAGATAAAAATAGTTAAATCAAAGACTAAGAAAACTATTTTTTAAAAATATAGTCAGGCTAGGCACAGTGGCTCATGCCTATAATCCCAACACTTTGGGAAGCTGAGGTGAGAGGACTGCCTGAGCCCACAGGTTTGAGACCAGCCTGGGCAACTTGGCGAGACCTCATCTCTACAGTAAATCAAAAAATTAGCCAAGTCTGGTAGCACACGCCTGCAGTTCCAGCTATTTGGAAGGCTGAGGTAGAAGGTTCGCCTGAGTCCAGTAGGTCGAGGCTTCAGTGGCCAGGAGCATGCCACTGCCCTCCAGCCTGGATGACAGGGTGAGACTCCAACTCAAAAAAAAAAGTTAATGATTATTTTTAAATATACTTTTTACAGCTGGGCTCGGTGGCTCAGCCTGTAATCCCGCGCCTTTGGGAGGCTGAGGTGAGTGGATTGCCTAAGCCCGCGGGTTCGAGACCCACCTGGGCAGCGAGACCTCATCTTGAAAATAAATTTAAAAAGTCAGCTGGGCATCGTAGCTCATGCCTGTAATTCTGGCTACTTGGAAGGCTGAGGCGGAAGGATCACCAGAGCCCAGCAGGTCAAGGATGCAGTGGCCGGGAGCGGCCACTACACTCCAGTCTGGGCGGCAGAGTGAGACTCCAACTCAAAAAAATATATATATACTTTTTACTAAAAGAGGCAAAGACCAAGAATAGAATAATCCCAGCTTAAGAAAACATCCAGATAAAGTCATGAAATACAATTTTAAGTATTTTGGTGAAGCTTTTAATTGATTTTTCACCCCTAAACATTGCAATTTATAAGATTTTTAATTCTTCAAATAATGGTTTGCTAAACATATGCCTTTATGTTATGGATCTATCATAGAAGTAATCTTTCAGTTATCATGACAGAACTGCACAATTTATATAAATATCTCACAATGTCAGTATCATCTATAATCAATTTAGAAGGCAGATTATAAAACAAGCACTTTGTTACCATCAGAGCAAAGGTTTCAAAAAAGACTTGACTATATGAATAATCCATATAAAGGAATCAAATATTGATTCTTTTCTGGAAGTACTAACCCCTATCAAAGCTCATAAAATTGATATTTTACATACTATCTAAAACTTAAGAATTTTTAGACCTGATTATAAATCACTCATAGCTAGCAAAGTTGTCTTTAGTTCTCAAATATATAGTTTATTGATGTAAAAAGAGTTCTCTTAGAGGCTTCAATTTATCCTGTCCTTCCTAAAGAACATAGCAAGTCATACAAAATAACTAAACTGAGAAAATGAAAAACTGACATATACGTACCCAGATGTATGTGTGTCACTTAGTCTGTGAATAAAAGGGTAAAAACTTCTCCCATCCATTTTTCTCCTAAAAGTCCACAGTCCATTAAATTTACAGATATATAAAATAAAAGCACCATTCACATTTTTTTTTTTTTTTTTTTTGAGTTGGAGTCTCACTCTGTCACCCAGACTGGAGTGCAGTGGCCGCTCCCGGCCACCGCAGCCTTGACCTGCTGGGCTCCGGCGATCCTTCCGCCTCAGCCTTCCAAGTAGCTGGAACTACAGGCACGCGCTACAACGCCCGGCTGATTTTTTACTTATTGTAGAGATGAGGCCTCACCAAGTTGCCCAGGCGGGGAACCCGCGGGCTCAGGCAATCCACTCACCTCAGCTTCCCAAAGGCGCGGGATTACAGGCTGAGTACCAAGTCCGGTTACCATTCACATTTTTAACATCGCAGAAGAAGTTAAGTACAGATACATAAGAAGCTAAATCACAAGTACTTATACAAAATCCTATATAAGAGAACAAGCCATTATATGTCTTATAGTCTATGATTAACATTTCCTATTATGCAAATTATGTGGTTTAAAACAATCTTCTGTTTATCTCCTAGAACATACCTCCAAATCTTTGCAGTATATTCTGTACTTCACCCCTGTAAAGAAGTTACATTTTAATAAGTTTTAATTAAGGATCCATCAAATATGCCTGTTTTGGGAAAAACATCACATACCAAGTATTGTACATAAAATACTTGTTAGACAGTCAAAGTAAACTTTCCTTGAAGGACTTTATCTAACAGGCAAAAATTATTTTGAACATGTTACCCCATATCTTCAACTATTCCTGCTGGTCTTTTCTTTCCATGTTTTTCAATTACTGGAGATTTTCCTGTATTGGCAATAAAAAAAAAAAACACCACATTTCTTTTAAAAGTACGTTATTCTGGTAAAGTTTAGTGAAATAATATCTACATCCGGGGGTCTTATAGGCTTTTTCCCAATGTAAGTTTTGGTTTTTTGGGGTTTTTTTGAGCTGGTATCACCCAGGAGAGTACAGGGGCACAATCACACTCTGCAACCTCGACGTTCGGGTGCTTTCTCCACCGCAGCCTCCTGAGTAGCTGGGACCACAGGCCAACACCACCACCACCACCACGCTTGGCTAACAGGCTTTTTTTTTTTTTTTTTTTTTTTTTTTTGTAGAGACGAAGTCTCACCATGCTGCCTGGGCTGGTCTTGAACCCCTGGGTTCAGGCAATCCTCTCGCCTCCGCCTCCCAAAACGCTGGGATTACAGGCACCAGGCCCACATAAGTTTTTAAACCGGACATATAAATGCAATGACTTCCTCTACCGGTCAGATTAAATCAAATCGGTATTCAGGACCATTTTAGAGGGACACTTTTTCCAAGTCTTCGTGGGCGAATGTCACAGGGAGCCATGTCCCGTCCATCAGACATTTGGGAAATGATGACTGCAGAAGCAAGAGATGCTTCTACGGGCTTCTCTAACCCCGGGAGGGGCATACGAGGGCCAAACGGACACCACCAAGTGCCTGGCCCTGCGCGTCGCCGGCTCCTCGTCCGTGAACACCGAGGACGCCAGGGCCCTCCGGATGGGAGGATGCTTCCCGGGCGGCATCACAGCTCGACCGCCGGGGAGCCGAGGGTCGCCGTGCGCCTGCGTCGGATGCCCGCACCTTCGGGAACGTCCTCGTCGGAGGCTCTCGAGTCCTCCCTCTCCGCGGCCTCGAAGTTGTGGGCTCGCGCGCCCGGCTCCTCCCTCGACGGCTTCCCGGGCTTCCCCGACTGCTTCCTTCCGGAGGGCCCCATCCTCGGACGGCTCCGACCTAAAAGACAAGTCTCTCGGCCTTCCGGACCCGAGGCCTCGTTTAACAAACACGGGCGAGACTTTACGCGTCCAAGAAGGTACCAAACTGGGCTTCGTGGAGTCGCCTTTTGACAGTTTCATCGTTCGTGTCTTTTGGATACAAACTTAGCAAAGATGACAAGGACATCTGTCAACTAACAAAAGAGCAGAGGCGAAAGCGCCCCCGGCCCCAAGCTGTGACTGGGCGGCCCCAGGACCCGGAGAGGCGAACCACGGGCAGCCAAACTGGGCACTTCCGGCAGCGCTGTGGGCACTTCCGGCGGATGCTGGGGGGGGGGGCGAGGCGGGGCGCGACGATGGTGGGGGGGAGGCGGGGCGCGACGATGCCCCGGTGAGTCGCCGGACAGGCATAGGCCTAAATAGGGACGTCTGCGAAGTTAATTAAAGTATTCATGGACGTCCCACAAGGAACCCACTGGACCCGCAGGCGCCCTCGGCCCACACCATCTCAGCGGGTCTGGACTGCCATCCCCTCCCTGGCCCGCACACTGCGGGCGAGGCCCTCCCCTCAGCTAGACCCGCAGCCTCCATCTTCCTGTCAGAGGCCCCAGGCAAGGCCAGCAGCCAAGGTCCACCTCACGGGTCAGGGGACGCCTACGCCCTGACACCGGCCCACGCCCGAGAGCCACCCCGGCGGCCGCGGGCCACGGGCACCCAACAGGGCTCACAGGTGCCTGTCCTCCCCCACCTCCCCGCCACCCCCGCCGCACCCGCCCGCCTCGCACCTGACCCGAGGACACCTCTTCGCTGCCGCCAGGCCTCTGAGGCGATTGAGGATTCGCGCGGGAAGAAAGCCAGCCCCCTTCTGCTAGGCGGCTGCTGATTGGCTGGG